CAGGGAAGTCAGGAAGGGGCCCTAAACCCTTTTGCCCTAAACCCTAAACTCCTAAAGCCCCCAAAAACATCCCTCAACCCGAAGGTAAAGGGGCCCTAAACCCTAAACCCTGAACCCCAACACTCTTGGCCCGTAACAACCTGAAGGCCGATTCGGCGGCTTGCAGCAATTTCGCTGAGCATGGGCAGTATCAATCTCCGAAACACATGGGGTTTAAGGCATCTTCTGGGTATTTGGAGTGCCTGGGGTATTTAGGAGATCTGTAGGATGCCTTTAGGGTATCTTTCGTGCATTTTGAGGTGCTTCCCTGCATTCCCCGTCTTGTCTTGTGGCGGCGCACATGCTGAGGCAAGGACGTTAGCGTCTTCCATTCTTTCCATGCCCAGCTGCTGCGCCTGCACAACCCCCAGAATCCCGAAACCCTTGAAAATTCCGAACAGCAATCCTCCACTAAGGAGGCTTTACGTTCAAGATAGTACATGAATGTACATGACAATACTTGAAAGTGCAAGAACTCCAAGATGGCGTACGGCTTGGAACTAACACCCTTGTGACCGGCTACGAACAACGATTCGAGGCCGACTCGGCCTTTCGAAGAACAGCAGGAGCAGGAGGTGAACAGGGCTTTCAGTAGGAGCTTTGAAGGGGATATGAACCCGTGAACCATAGCCCCGTAACGCGCAGATGCAGCAGCAGCTGAGGACACTGAGGTTCAGCGTCAAGCCTCGTTTGCCGAAGTGCCCGAAGGAACTGTGCCCACCATTTCCCCCCTCGCCTCGTTCGACACGGGCTCCGCCACGACGATGACGGCTTCGCCAGGCAACTCCGGGCATGTGGCCAAGTTCGGGGGAGTTCAGTCAGGGTTCTCTGAATTGAGTTGCACACCGAACCTCCCTGCCAAAACAAAGCATCCTGCTTTTTTGGGGACCGAGCGTGTTCAACTAGCATCCTGCTTTCTGGGGACCGAGCGTGTTCAACTAGCATCCTGCTTTCTGGGGACCGAGCGTGTTCAACTAGCATCCTGCCTTCTGGGGACCGAGCGTGTTCAACTAGCATCCTGCTTTTTGGGGACCGAGCGTGTTCAACTAGCATCCTGCTTTTTGGGGGGCCGAGAGCGTTCAACTAGCATCCTGCTTTTTGGGGGGCCGAGAGCGTTCAACTAGCATCCTGCTTTTTGGGGGCCGAGCGTGTTCAACGAGCATCCTGCTTTTTGGGGAGCGAGCGTGCTGAAATAACATCCTGCTGTTTGGGACCGAGCATGCTTAACTGGAAACCTGCTTTTTGGGGACCGAGCGTATTCATCTTGCATCCTGCTTTCTGGGGACCGAGCGTGTTCAACTAGCATCCTGCATTTTGGGGATCGAGCGTGTTCAACTAGCATCCTGCCTTTTGGGGACCGAGCGTCTTCAACTAGCATCCTGCTTTTTGGGGACCGAGCGTGTTCAACTAGCATCCTGGTTTTTGGGGGGCCGGGAGCGTTCAACTAGCATTTTGCTTTTTGGGGAGCGAGCGTGCTGAACTAACATCCTGTTGTTTGGGGACCGAGCATGTTCAACTAGACAGCTGCTTTTTGGAGACCGAGCGTGTTCAACTAGCAGCCTGCTTTTTGGGGACCGAGCGTGATCAACTAGCATCCTGCTTTTTGGGGACCGAGTGTGTTCAACTAGCATCCTGCTTTTTGGGGAGCGAGCGTGCTGAACTAACATCCTGCTGTTTGGGACCGAGCATGCTTAACTAGAAACCTGCTTTTTGGGGACCGAGCGTATTCATCTAGCATCCTGCTTTCTGGGGACCGAGCGTGTTCAACTAGCATCCTGCTTTTTGGGGGATCGAGCGTGTTCAACTAGCATCCTGCCTTTTGGGGACCGAGCGTCTTCAACTAGCATCCTGCTTTTTGGGGACCGAGCGTGTTCAACTAGCATCCTGCTTTTTGGGGGGCCGAGAGCGTTCAACTAGCATTTTGCTTTTTGGGGAGCGAGCGTTGTTGAACTAACATCCTGTTGCTTGGGGACCGAGCATGTTCAACTAGACAGCTGCTTTTTGGAGACCGAGAGTGCTCAACTAGCGTCCTGCTTTTGGGGACCGAGCGTGTTCAATTGGCATCCTGCTTTTTGGGGACCGAGCGTGTTCAACTAGCATCCTGCTTTTTGGGGAGCGAGCGTGTTCAACTAACATCCTGCTGTTTGGGGACCGAGCATTTTGAACTAGAAACCTGCTTCTTGGTGACCGAGCGTGTTCAACTAGCATCCTGCTTTTTGGGGGCCGAACGTGTTCAACTGGCAGCCTGCTTTCTGGGGACCGAGCGTGTTCAACTAGCATCCTGCTTTTTGGGGAGCGAGCGTGTTCAACTAACACAACTAACATCCTGCTTTTTGGGGGCCGAGCGTGTTCAACTAGCATCCTGCTTTCTGGGGACCGAGCGTGTTCAACTAGCATCCTGCTTTTTGGGGGACCGAGCGTGTGCAACTAGCATCCTGCTTTTTGGGGGACCGAGCGTGTTCAACTAGCATCCTGCTTTTTGGGGGGGCGAGAGCGTTCAACTAGCATCCTGCTTTTTGGGGACCGAGCGTGTTCAACTAGCATCCTGCTTTTTGGGGGTCGAGAGCGTTCAACTAGCATCCTGCTTCTTGGGGGGCCAGCGCGTTGAACTGCGCAGCATCCTGCCTTTTGGGGGCCGAACGTGTTCAACTAGCAATCCTGCTTTTTGGGGGCCGAGAGCGTTCAACTAGCATCCTGCTTCTTGGGGGGCGAGCGCTTTTGGGGGCCGAGCGTGTTCAACTAGCATCCTGCTATTTTGGGGGCCGAGCGTGTTCAACTAGCATCCTGCTTCTTGGGGGGCGAGCGCGTTGGACTGCGTAGCATCCTGCCTTTTGGGGACCGCGTGTTCAACTAGACTCCTGCTTTTTGGGGGCCGAGAGCGTTCAACTAGCATCCTGCTTCTTGGGGGGCGAGCGCGTTGAACTGCGTAGCATCCTGCCTTTTGAGGACCGAGCGTGTTCAACTAGCATCCTGCTTTTTCGGGGCCGAGAGCGTTCAACTAGCATCCTGCTTCTTGGGGGGCCAGCGCGTTGAACTGCGTAGCATCCTGCCTTTTGGGGGCCGAACGTAGCATCCTGCTTTTTGGGGGCCGAGAGCGTTCAACTAGCATCCTGCTTCTTAGGGGGGCGAGCGCGTTTAACTGCGCAGCATCCTGCCTTTTGGGCACCGAACGTGTTCATCCTGCTTTTTGGGGGCCGAGAGCGTTCAACTAGCATCCTGCTTCTCGGGGGGCCAGCGCGTTGAACTGCGTAGCATCCTGCCTTTTGGGGGCCGAACGTGTTCAACTAGCATCCTGCTTTTTGGGGGCCGAGAGCGTTCAACTAGCATCCTGCTTCTTGGGGGGCCAGCGCGTTGAACTGCGTAGCATCCTGCCTTTTGGGGGCCGAGCGTGTTCAACTAGCATCCTGCTTTTTGGGGGCCGAGAGCGTTCAACTAGCATCCTGCTTCTTGGGGGGCGAGCGCGTTGAACTGCGTAGCATCCTGCCTTTTGGGGGCCGAGCGTGTTCAACTAGCATCCTGCTTTTTGGGGGCCGAGAGCGTTCAACTAGCATCCTGCTTCTTGGGGGGCCAGCGCGTTGAACTGCGTAGCATCCTGCCTTTTGGGGGCCGAACGTAGCATCCTGCTTTTTGGGGGCCGAGAGCGTTCAACTAGCATCCTGCTTCTTGGGGGGCGAGCGCGTTGAACTGCGTAGCATCCTGCCTTTTGGGGGCCGAGCGTGTTCAACTAGCATCCTCAAGGACGAGCTCCTTCAGGTTCGGCCGGGGTGGAACTCTGGATGAAACCACGTGGTCAAGGGGCAGCTCCCAGAGTCTGCCACCGTCTTGTTCCCTCAGCAAGGAGCCACGAAGGATGCCCGAAGTCCCTCTGAGGCGATGGCCGTGTCGCCCAAGGGGTTTACTTCGAGCTCTTCGCGTCGACGGCCTTGGTGGTTAAGGCAGAAGACTCACCCTTGGTTGCGAGTCAGACATCACTGCAGCGCAGATGCTGCAGCTTGCGAACTTCCACAAATGTAGGCGCCTTGCAAAGTTCGCCTCCTGCAGGTATAAGAGGGGTTTGCGGAGCAAAGCATGTCCATTCTCCGCGGCACGTATCTTCTTCAACGAGCTAACGATTCGATGCCCCGTGCAATCCTCTAAAACACTTAGTTGCAAGTATGCGCGGGCATGCACACACATATATTAGATAGATAGATAGATAGATAGACAGATAGATAGATAGATTGGCAGATAGATGCATCGTTGGACACACACACACACAAACACACATGTATATATATATATACACACTATATACACACACATAGAAGCATATAGAGTATGCATTCATTCATGCATTCTTTTAAAGCTCTTGCATTTGTATGCCTATCCATTCGCTTTGTTGAGTCTGACGGCCCTGCAACAGCACCGTGTTTTTTGCGGGTCCTCGGGAGCGCGAAGCTGAGCACCTCAGCTTCACGAGGGTCACTTGTTGACACTCTCGGCGGGTTTAGGGTTTAGGGTTTGGGGTTTGGGGTTTAGGGTTTAGGGGACTACTCGCACACTCCAGGCTGGGTTGTTGCAAGGGCTTTAGATTGCCTGCGGTCGGGCTTTTTCCTTCCCACATTGCTAGCTGCTCGGGTCTGGCCGCTGACACTCGGGTTCTCCAGTCGTGTCCATGCGCGGTCCGTTGAGGTGAAATCAGGAAGAAGGCAAACACCTCAAGTTCAACACTAACCAAAGTAAGAAACCCTTGGCCTTAGCACTCGCCGTCGACGAGCTTAGAGCCCGGCTGTAGTAGAATATTGCGATTTGCTGCAGACTTCTTCGGAATTCAGCAGGTGCCGTCATCAAATAAAAGGAGTCTGAAGGAGCAAGAAAGATAAGCCAAGCACAACAACAGCCAAGAATACAGCCAGGCTCAAGTCTTAAAAACGTCTTGCAGTGCGGGAGGCACGGGATGTTGGCTCCTCGACAGGAGAAGCTCAGTAGTCGTCACCCCGAGAGATCACCTCCTTGCACGTCGGCCGCAGCAGAAGGGTGTGCTCCATCCTATACTCCCCTTAGAACCTTAATAAAATGAATTTTGTTAATTTCCTCTTGGGTTTTATATAAACAATAAACAAAAATAATTCCCAAGGGGGTTATAGCATCTGTGTCACGTAGGAGCCCTTCGCATCGCAAAGGGGCGGATAGGGCTGGACAATGTCGTTGTCCACCAGGTTCTTCAAAGCCATCAAATGGCGCGTCTGGCCCAGGTCATCCAACCAGCGCCGGCAGAATCCTGATTCATGGTTGGGAGAGTATAAAAGTTTTGACTTTTTATTCCTTATTGGGTTTAAGTATCCCTTAAAAATGCAAAAATGTTACCCAACTATGACAAAGAATCCTAAGGTTCCGAAGTTCTGCTCAATCGCATGGAGCAGGGCCTTGGAGCTCTTCACGCGCAGTGGCACGTGCGGAGCATCGAAGATCTTCATGTAGTGGGAGCACTCCAGATCCTCCACCACGTAGCCTTTGCCATTGGAGGCAAAGGTTTCAATGGCGTAGAACTCCCCCTCCTCCATGGAGCCAGGTGGTTTTTTATGCATAGGGGAATTAGAAACCAAAAACATGTACCCACAAAAAAATCCCCAAAAAACACACCCAAGAAGAACCACCCCACCCTTCCTCCATGATGGAGGGGCACTGGTTCTTGACAATGGGCACCGACTTGGCGCCGTGGATGTGGTAGGGCTCGATGGAGTGGCCGTTCAGGTTCCGAACCGACTTGATGGGCCAGGTCTTGCCGTTGAGCTCAATCTCGTAGGACTCCTTAGTAGCCCAGTAGCCATGTTATGATACGGGCACCTTTTTTTTTGGTTGGTTTCTTTATAATAATAAGGGAACCCAGGACCAAGAAAAGGGAAGGGCACCACTGGGCTACCAGGGCTCAATGGCCTCCTGAATGGCGGCCCCGATGTCCGTGAAGCGCGCATCGATGCCCGCCTCCCTCCTATACTCCCCTTAGAACCTTAATAAAAGGAATGTTTTTTTTTTTTTTTTTTTTTTTTTTTTTTTTTTTTTTTTTTTTTTTTTTTTTTTTTTTTTTTTTTTTTTTTTAAATACTCTCTTAAGTTTTATATATAAACAAAAATACAAAGAACATTTTGTCAATACCCTCTTGGGTTTCATCTATTAACACAACGAAAAAAAGAGTTCCAAAAGGGGGATAGAGCTTCACTCCGGTGTTGGTGCCATCCTGGCTGGCCTCGATGATGGGGTCATACCTTCGCTGTCCAGTAACCTGGGGGGAATTTAAAGGCTAACCTCTGGGATCCTAAGGGGATTCTATTACCCCAAAAAAGGTCAAAAAGGTCACCTGCTCTGCTACCGGGATACCTCTGATTGAAGGCGATGGTAAAGGCGGAGTCGACGATGCGACCACCGACTTGAACGCCGAAGTCCAGCTTGCAGACGTCGTCGTACCTAGTTGATTGTTGGGGGGATGATATGATTCCTTCTTGGGTTTAAGTACCCTTAAGAATGTAAAATGTTACCCAAACTATAACAAAGGTACTGCAGGACCGTCTCGTCCCCGTAGTTCGGGGTGTAGTGGGCGGCCACCCAGTTCAGGGAGCAACCGGTTGGGAAGCCCCATCCTGCCTCCAGGCCGTTTGCAACTACCAGCTCGTGGGTTTTTCTCTCCAGGCGCTGGCAGATCTCCGTCATCTTCAAACCAGGCTTCACGTAGGACTGCACGTACTTCCTGACCTGCCGGTGGACCTCTGAATTGTTGAAGCCTTTAAACAACCCTGTAAGAAAAATGCTTTCATATAAGGGCCCCCTTTATAAACCCAGCTTTATAAGGAAAATGTATAGAATGTCCAAAGAAAGCCAAAACGGGTCTGGACCTCTCCAGCTTTCCGGATCTTCTCGTAGTCGTAGGAGGCGAGGCGCTCGAGCTCGCGCTTCTCGGCGGAGGTCGTCCGGAAGGAGTTGGCACCCATGTACTCGACGCAAACCTGATTCATGGTTGGGATAGTATTTAAAATTTTGTAAACTTCTATTCCTTGTTGGGTTTAAGAGTCTAAGTACCCTTAAAAATGCAAAAATGTTACCCAACTATGACAAAGAAACCCCAGAAGGGAAGTCACCGTCGGGGTACTGCTCGCTCACGGGAACGTCGAAGGCCGGGCTTTGCCGCGACGAGGGCACCGCTGGCCAGTTCTTGAGCCCCCGGAGCGCGCTGTTGTCCTGCTCGGGGATGAAAGCCTTTGCCAGGGCACCTCCATCACCTCCAGCCTTCTTCTTCTTCTTGCTCTTCTTCTTGGCTCCTGCATCCGCCACATCCTCCTCACCGTCCGGTGCAGCATCGGGTGAAGGAGCCACAGCTTCCGCACTTGCAGGGGCAGCTTCTCCCTCCTGCGCTGCGGCTGGGGTGTCCTTCTTCTTCTTGCTCTTCTTTTTCTTCTTGGCTGCGGCATCCTCTGGCACGTCGGGCTCCTCCTTGGATTGCTCCTTCTCTGGATAGCCCTTCTTGGCCGCCTTCGGGTCCTTTCCATCGCCATCTGCCATCATGGCTTGGATCACCGTCACATCGAACGTCATGCTACCAAACTGTAGCAAGGGAACTCTGCACTTCTCTAAGACTTTCTGGAACAACAAGCTTGAGCCAAAGCAGGGTTCCGTTTGTGCTGGAGCCTCACATGACGAGGAAAACAAGGACCGGTTCCCGTGTCATATCTCAACACTGGGAGCGTCCCATGGCACGGCCAGAGTGTGCAGGGTGGACCCCTAAGTTGGCTGAGCTGTTCCTCAAACCCCCAGCACCTGAGATCCCGACAGTCGAGAGCAATGCGAGGCCCAGCCTTAGCCACCCTAAACCCTAAACCCTAAACCCTAAACCCTAAACCCTAAACCCTAAACCCAGCAGGGGGTTTCCAGTAGGGGTCCACGGAGCCCTAGAGAAACCTTGAAGGAGCTTGCGGCTGGGCCTGACTTCGGGGTTCCCGGGGTAGCACCGGACCTCTGCCAGAGAGTCCGGCTCACCGCAAGGCTCCGTCACCTGCAAAGGCAAGATGTGGAGGAATTTCGTGTTGAGAGTTTTCGGGGGGGTTTAGGGCCTTTAGGGGCGTGCAGTTAATTTAGGGTGAGGAGGGTTTCTTGCCAAGGGCTGGGGCTGCAGGAGATTAGGCACTGCGTTTGAGGGTTGGGGTATGGGGTTTAAGCAGGAGACATTGCTTGCTATGTTTGGCTTCGGCTGAGAACGCCTTCGGCACATGTCCTACACCTGAATCGAAAACTAAATGCCAAGCGCTCACGCCCTCCAACCCTCAACCCCAAACCCTAAACTCCTAAACTCTTCCCTTCTCCCTTTTCCCTTCTCTTTTCTCCCTTCTCCCTTAAACCCTCTCGCTCTCTCCCTCGCTCTCTCTCTCTCCCTCTCTCCTTCTTTTGGCAGCATGCCGCGCCACGAATGAGTCGCCGTCTTGGCTTGTCGGGAGAGCTGGTATCGTACAGCTTGGGCATGCATACACGGGCCCCAAGACTCGTATTAAGAACTGGTACCGTAGGGGGCTTTGAAAACATCTGCTTTTCTTTGGTTCCTGACGATGAAACTATGAGACCCTGCAGACTCTAAGCCGCTCTCCACACCGGGCACTTCCTGCTTGGTCAAGATACCCCCCCCAACCAGAGCGTAAAGCCTATAGGCTATGAAGAACAAAGCTCCCCCCTGCACGGCTGGGAAGCGTGGATGGAGCACAGTGGGGCAGAATGCGACGTCAGCTACTTCGAATATGGGAAACCGCTAGCCACGTCCAAAACTAAACGCAACTTCATCTTTGCACTTCTGCGTCTGCTACCACACGAAGGCACACCACGAGGCAGACTCATGACCTACAACCACGCTGGTGGTCTCAGCACGTCGCATCTACCGGTCACAAGGCGCCAGCCGTGTCATCTCTGGTGGCATCGGTGAAGTCTCGTTGTAGCGACCGGAGGGTTTCGTAGTCAAATGCTTCTGCGTGGCTCATCCTTGCCAGTTGTACTAGCAGCGCCGCTGCTGCATCAACAGTGGCATAGATGAGAAACTCATCATGCACAGTCAGCTGCATTGTAGCCGCGAAGAAGAACTGAGGCACATCATGCAATAGAGCAAAGGCGAACTCAACTTGCAAAAGCATGTTGTTGCTCTTGCTTGCCGCGAGAAGCTCCAAGTAGGACCTGCCCCAGACTACCGGCCCGAGGCAGTTCTGGAGCGCCTGCGAGACTCCTTCTATTTCACGGTTCTTGTGGGTGGGATGGCTTTGACTGCCATCTGCCTTTTTGCAGTGGTGGCTTCGTTCGTGATTTTCATTGTGGACCAGTTGAAGTACGCGTGCCCGATCCTGATGTTCGCGAACTTCGGGTTTGAGGCAGGTGTGTGTGGCCTTGTCTGTTCGGGCGCCAGCTGTGTGACTGAAGAACTTGCGAACAGATTTCTGGCCTGCTTCCCGGGAACCATGCTAGTCCTGATTCCGGCTGCATACTGTGGCCTGCCAGCACTTTGCTGTACAACTGGGCCTGCTTCGTCTACTTTGCCACGCTGGGCAGGGGAGAGTGGCCCCATGCCGAGCGCGCGATTCTCTTCTGTTTCGGGGAGATGCCCTTCTCAAGCTACATGTTCCTACCTCAGGTGGGTATTGCATGGGGATAATTCTAAATTTCCCTTCTTTCCCTTTTAAGGGAACCTATTCATAAATAGTTTTCACCAGTGTCAGGCGTTCAGTGCCGCATTCACGTTGCACGATGCTTGGAATTCCCTCTGGAATCGGCCGGGCCTAGAAATCAGGAAGGCGCTGCTGATCCTGAAGAAGGTGATCACCCTGCAAGCTTTGGTGGGTTTGGTGCTTTCAGTGCGTGGGGCATCCGCACCATGCGCAGTGGGTATCTATTTGTTGCTGTCGCAACTATTGGAATTGGGCGCGCTGCAGATTGCTTGCCAGGTCTTCGTCGACTCTATCGCATGTGAACCCTCTGAAAGGCTCCGCACACGCGCAGACACACGAGCCTGGCTGTTGAATCCGGCCATGGCTGCAGGACCTACTCATTGCTTCATCGCAACTGATGACTCGTACCTCCTCTCTGATTTCAGACTCGGGACGGCCAAATATTAAGGATGTTGTAGCAGCAGGGCACGGCCGTATTTTTGCATCTGCACCCTCCCCAGAAATCCACAAGCAAAGCGCGAGCTTCTGCGAAGCCCGAGTCCATCTAGCCAGCATGAGGCGCCCAAGAGAATCGCGCCCCCACTCTTGTGCCCAAGCTTGTGGAACCTTGTCGGCATCCGCTACGCTGACGTTGGCGAAATTTCACAGTCCTGCATGGTCACTCGTCCGCACCCCCCCTCGAACAGCTCTGCGGCAATGTCTGGTGGGGCACTTCTGGTGGCACTGCCCAGTCTGATATGTTGCACATAGGCCACTGTCCTGATGTGGTGACCGCGTACCATCTGCCACTGTGCTGGATTATTGCAGGGTTGCAGGGAAAGGTTTGAGCTCTTTGGCACCACCATCCCGCACAAGTCCAGATCAGCATGGTACAGGACCAGTGCACTGTCGTTTTCGCCGCTTTCGCCAACATCCGTCTGTCTGACTGCAACATCGTGCTCCGTGAGTGCGGCCTTGAAAGGCAGGGCAACTGAGAGAAGCAGTCGCACGATGAGCCAGAAAACCAGAAGCGACAGTGCGGAACAGCACAGGCACCAAAACAAAACGGCGGAGCCTACAAGCTCCTCCAGGCCCGTGAAGATGCTTCGAAAAATGCCACGCATTGCCCTGAAAAACGAAACGGTGGCGCAGGGACCGATTTGCTCGCCCTAAACCTTAAACCCTATTTAAGCCCCTAAACTCCATACCTTAACCCTACCATCCCTCATCACCCCCTACGCTTGGGGGCCATGGGTCGGCTGCAAGCATTCGGATGCTATTGCTTCCGGACTGGTCTGGAGGCGCTGCAAAGTCAAGCTTTCCGAACACCGAACCCCCTGACTCTTTCAGTGCACTCGATCGTTGAGTCGGCTTGATTCACTTGATCTGCTGACACAGCTACGCGGACATGCCGCGCCGGATGAACCCAACTTCGCCCCCAAGATCCAGACCACCCTGCAACCCTCAACGTGAAAGCCCTACAAATCACAAAACCTCTTAGCCCGAAACAAGGGAAAACACCCGGAAAAAAGCCCGGAAAAAACAAACCGAAGCCAAGAACAGAACCGTCCTTCGAGATGGCCGCGCACGCACACATCCGCTGGGCCGAGCTCCTCCCGGTTTAGCTTTGAGGTTCATGGGTACTTATAACCACAATGTCCACAAGTATTTAGTCTACTTATAACCTACTTAGGGGACTCAAGGGGGCTTAAAGTGCAGTTATACTTGGGGTTGTAAGTACCCTGAACCTCCAAGAGGAGTTAGAAGGGTTTAGGGCTTGAGGAGTTTCTTGGGCAAAAAGAGAAAGCAGCTCTTGTCTTGGGGACTTTCGTTACCCTAACCCGATAGCCACGGAGCCCCAAGGCTGGACAAACCCACCCAACCGCGAAGGCCTGTGACCTCAAGCCCCGGCCGGCCCCCTACATATACCGGAAAAACCCTACACCCTAAACCCAAACCCTAAACCCTAAGCCCTACTATCGCAAGGGGGGGGGGGGGGGCATGGTCTTTTGGTAGGACCCCCAAACAGACCCCTCACTGTACCTTCAAAACTCACCCCTTGTGATCAAACCCTAAACCCTAAACCCTAAACTCCAAACCCCTAAACCCCAAGTGCTCGGGAGGGCCTTGATCTTTTGCTTTCTCCTCGTTGATGAGGCCCCTGCCTTTCTTCCTTAGAGCTAGCCGCTGAGGCTTTGGGGCGGAGGGTTCAGGGGTTTCCCCCTCGCCCGAACACCCAAAACAAGGGTTGAGGGTTCCCGTGAGGTTTTTACGGGGCTTCGGGGTTCTGGCCATGTTTAGGTTTAGGATTTAGGGTGTAGGGAGGAGGGTCTAGAGAGCCCCCTTAAATGAAAGGCATTCGGATTGTTTTCGACATCACAGCTCGCTGCGCGTCTTTGGACAAGACGCGTGCGCAACAACTGATGCACCCAAACCGTCAAAACACACAAGTCCAGTCGGCAAGGCCACATTTGCCAAGCTCGGGTTGAATTTGTATCCGAAGCTCAAGGACTGCAAGCTGCCAGGCAAGGCCACATTCGCCAAGCTCTGGTTGAAATTGTGTCCGAAGCTCAAGGACTTCAAGCTGCCAGGCAAGGCCACATTCTCCAAGCTCTGATTGAAATCGAATCCGAAGCTCAAGGACTGCAAGCTGCCAGGCAAGGCCACATTCGCCAAGCTCTGGTTGACATTGTGTCCGAAGCTCAAGGACTTCAAGCTGCCAGGCAAGGCCACATTCTCCAAGCTCTGGTTGAAATCGTCTCCGAAGCTCAAGGACTGCAAGCTGCTAGGCAAGACCACATTCGCCAAGCTCTGGTTGAAATTCTGTCCGAAGCTCAAGGACTGCAAGCTGCCAGGCAAGGCCACATTCTCCAAGCTCTGGTTGAAATT